CCCAAGCCTTACAACGAAGTGTTGCCTGTAGGGCTAGAAGACGATGGCGGAGAGACGCATATTACGATACGTTTTATGGCTACTTATGATTTTGTGTTGTATTGAGATCACTTGCCAGGTGAAAACCTATCACGTTTTTAAACAGCGCCGTTGGTTATCAGTGAAACAATGTTCATGCCGCTGTATTTCCAGGAAAATATTTTCGCTTCTCTAAATTACGTGTGCATTCCGTAAACAAATATTTACACCCCGGAATACAAAACCACGAATGCTTCACTCATTCTCTCACTTTTTTTATTGATTCACTTCGTGTGCAATAGAAAACAACGCCCGATTGGAACAACATTGTGCAAACGAACTCACCTCAAAACACGTTCCGATTTTTTCGACTCCTTTTCTTTGGCCCGCAACTGTTTTATTGCAGTGTTTGCTTTCAGCTGCGACTGCGCCAACTGTTCGCCTTCTTTCATCAGTTCATTAATTTGAACCGTTTTTTCGTTCAATATGCGCTCCAATTCGGCAATCCGTTTGCTACGGTCGAACAATGAGTGTCCAAAAGATGGATCAGATGCAGGAATTCGTGGTCGGGTGGAAAAAGTGAATCGGATAAACCGGTTTAGGAAGTAAACCGAGCGGAAAACGTGCAATGCTGTGTTCAATTGAAAGATGTTCGGGTCTACACATCAATTCCCATGTGGTCAGCACGTGTGAAAGTGAGCCACAGCTGACCAACCTTTGCCTTATTCGAGGAAAGATAGTGTATGATCATTTGTGAATCACAACCGAAAGGTAGGATAGCAAGTAACCTACATTTTCACACTAGCCTCACAGTTACTTGTGAGTAATGATGTGAGATAATTGTTGATTTGGACAGAAATGACAATAAAGGGAGCTATAGTGCACTATCTGTTAGCTACAATTCTGAGCAATCCGGGTGTGAACTGGTTGGCACAGTGGTAACACACATGCCTTCCATGTGTCGGTTCCGGAGTTAAAAGGTCGAATGGGATGATAGATATGCAATACTCATGGGATTTATTGCGTGCGAAACTCGTGTCTGCGGCTTCAAGAGTTTATGGTTGACTGGATGCGCTAAGGGTTGCGAGTGAACGCTAGGTATGGAGGATGGTTTGATTCAAATAAGTCGATTTTATTGTGTCATCAACAAAGCAAATCTAGAACCATATCAAGGGAACGGATGAGAGATGGAGAGGAAAAAAAAGTAGAACGAATACGCGATTCGGTCAAAGCATTCAGCAGAAATCAAGGGTGGCCAGAAAAACATCTAGATCCGATGTTATCACATGCACCCGAAACAGTCAATCGAAATACAACGGAACTTGTGGGAGATTATTAAAATGTACCACTGTAGAGGGCTCCCACCGAGAATTTTCGGTGTGAAAACTAAAACCGTTCCCCTTGAGCCACAAAGGCAGGAACCCGCACCTTTAGACCATTCAGACAATTTATTGTCTTTTCTATGAGAATTTATAAGTATCAGGATCCGTGTATTGTAATACTGATGGGTCTTAAAAGGGACAAAACGGCTGACCAGTTTCGCGTGTACTGTCAATCAAGACAAGGCGGCACCTTGACGTGGTGTGACGGCTTGCGTGCCTCCATAACCCTGCGAGTTACACAGGATGACCTTTTAAAGCCACAGATACAATCATGCTTGAAGGGTCAATGGGTAGAAGCTAGACAAAGATCAGTCTCACAAAGCTAGCTACTTGGGTACCTCCCGATTTCCTTTGTCTATCTTCGCTCGCCCCTTATGAAGTCATTCCAACAAATAAACACGATGATGGGCAGTTCATCGGTCAACAAACTCCGCTAGATGCAGGTAGCAGTGGAGTACCTTG